TGCCTTCACCCAGCACAACTTTACTCTGAACTGCAGCTTCGCTCAGAACCACTTCAAATACAACTTCTTGGTATAAGAGCATTTATCAAGTGCATATATTCGTGTTGAACAAGTAGAGCAACTTAACTTCAGCCTAGTATATTAAGATAAATGTATTTATAACTTATGCAAATTTTGCCTATCACAACACAAGCACATATATCCATGCCCTTGTATATTATTGATAAATGTATTATAAACGATTGATTGCAAAATACTTTTTGCGCATAATTTCAAGCCATGCCATCACTAAATAAATTACATCATTTGTATACGATTGTATAATTATATATAATCGTAGTACCTATAATACATACATACAAAATATGAATATATTAATATATATATTATATATATATATATATTTAATATATTATAATGTGATTACTATACTATGTTGTGTGTGTTGCATTCCCGACAAAAACAGATCCTGTGTTGGTGAATGACAGGGACAAGGTGTCCACCATGACGGTTTCTACCGGTCTCTTCCCATTGAAAATTGTGTGTCCCTGTGTGTGTGTGTTGTCGTGTTGTTGTTAGTGTCGCTGATGTGTATTGTATCTCTCTCTCTCTCTCCTCTCTCTACTTCTAACCTATACAATAATATGATTGTACTCATATATATCTAAATAAAGTGGATATAATTATATAGTGATCTAAATTATAGTGAGCTATAGTATTATATACATATATATATAAATTTATGTAGTAGTATTATATAAAAATTTCTGTGTACTATAAATGGAGTACATTATATAAAAACGTAATTTCACCGTAAAATAGTGATATAGTTATATTGATATATACTAAATAAGTATTATTATGGTGTGTAATTCTCTCTCTCGTCTTCGTTTTCTTTCGTTCTCTCTCTCTCTCCTCTTTTTCTTATCGTGTGTCCCGTGTGTGTGTGTGTGGTGTGTGGTTGTGTGCCTTGTTGCCTGTTGTTGTGCTTCTGTTTCTGTGGTGCTGTGTTATGCTTCTCTTGTGTATGTCTCTCTCCCTCTTCTCTCCTCTCTCTTCTCTCTTCTCTCTCCTCTCTCTCCTCTCTCTCTTCTCTCTCTCCTCCTTTCTCTCCTCTTCTCCTTCCTCTCTCTTTTCTTTTCTTTCTTCTCTCTCTGTTTTACTTCTTATTCTTCTACTCTTTCTATTACTTATCTTACTCTCTTACTATATTCATCTCATTACTATACTTTACTCCTCTCTCTCTACTACATCTTCTTATACTTATTTATGTATCTCTCTATATATATTAAACTATTATCATCTATACATATCTCTCTCTCTACTTTTTCTCTCTTCGTTCTCTAACTCTACTTTTTTCTCTTTTCTTACTTTTTTTCTCTTCTACTCTATTCTATCTTCTTCTTCTCATAAAAATTAATTTCTACTCATATATCTTGCGTCTCTCTATTATATATTACACACTATTCATCTGTCTCTCTAACTCCTAATTGTAGGCGCCATGGATGTATCTCCCCTACTACCATACATTACATACATATTTTATTTTAATATATATAGTAATATATATATATTACTTGTAAATATGACTTCTCTCCTCAATAATATATATACAATAATATTTTTATTCCGTGATAATACTAATGTTGTGTGCGGCCTGTGTTACTGTGGGCGGGTCAGTGCTACAATCCAACACACCACCACTCACACATCACAACCAGCGACACACACACACACACGAGAGCACACACCCAAAGCGAGCGACGACACTCACACAGCGAGAGACGAGCGAGCAGAGCCAACAACCAACACACACGAGCACACATAAAGTAGGTATATAGTATATATATATATATATATAGGTATATTATCATACATGAATACCTAGTGTTTATCCTAATATCGATATATGTGGTGTGTTGTGCTGTTCGACTGTAATGTCGGTTCCTCTATTACGAGGTCGTCTATTTGACCTGTGGGTGTGTTCTCTCAAAGGATTGTTCAAATGACCAAGGTAATTCGTTCGATGTAGGTGATGTGATGGTGTGTGTGTGTGTGTTGACGTATTCCCGAAGGAGTGAATTATTTTCATCTCACTCTCTTCGTGTGTTTGTGCTGCTCTCTTTCTTTCTCTGTTGTTTTGGTGTTCTCGCGTTGTGTGTCTCTCTCTCTCTCTCTCTCCTCTCTCTCTCTCTCTCTCCTCTCTCTCTCTCTCTCTCTCTCTCGTCTCTCCTCTCTCCTCTCTCTATCTATCTCTACTCTCTTCTCTCTGCTCTCTCTCTTCTCTCCTCCTTGCCCTCTCTCTACAACCTGCTGTTACTGACGTGTGTTTATGTGTGTGCGATGGAGAAGAGTGTTTGGTGAATAGATGTGATGATGATGTGTGCGTGTGTGTTGTGGTGTGGTGTAGTGCGCACAAAGGTGTCGATAGTGTGAAATAAGCGGATCTTAAACACTCTTCTCCCCTAACCCTTCCCCCTCCCTCCCGGGTCAACGCCTGAAGTTCCGTGAAGCGTGGTCTCTGGGAGAGAAGCGGGTGTGGCCCGGCTCGCGCAGGGCTCTGCACAGGTCGCTCACCACCATCTCTGCGCTCGCCCGCACCGCCCGACGGATGAGCAGACGTAGAGGTAGGGAAAGGCCTCGGGGCTTCGCCGGGCAGCGAGACGGCCCAGACGAGTGCAGAGAGCAACGTCCGCCCTCCGAAGGAGGAACGGGAACCCCGACCGCCCCTGCCGACTCCTCTATGCTCGAGCAAGACGCTATCTGCCTCTCAAGCGCTCACTGCCACCCCTTCGCCCGCTGCGCCTCGATCCCGTCGAAGGGCGTGGAATCGGATCCTCTCGTGTGTTCGGATTCCGCCATGCCCCGTAGGCAGATTCGGTGCCAGCCCGTGTGTGTGTGTGTGTTGTGTAGTGGAGTGATGTTGTGTGTGTGTGTGGTTGTGAACACACACACACACACCACAGCACACACACACCACACCAACACACACACACACATCAGCTCACACACACTCGACGACATAACAGACACCAGCGACACACACCACAGACCACCACACCTTCTTTTGTTCCTGTAGTATTAGTTTTATTATATACTATACTACATATATATATATATATATTATTATCCACTAATATATATATATATTATTTAATCATATTTATATATAAATATTACCTATTTCCCTACCTTACATTATATAATACCTATAGGTATTATTAGAGATGAGAGGGAGAGAGGAGATAGAGAGAGAGAGGAAGGAGAGAAGAGATACACACACAACAACCACACACACACAGGCACCAGCAATATATATTATATAATATATATATATATATAATATAAATATTATAATATATTTATATATATAATATAATAACCAGTATATATAGTTTATATATTATAATATAGTATCCCTATATATTATACCCTATATATATAATATATACTATATATTATATATTATTATATATTTATATTAATCTATATTAATCTTATATATATAGGTACCGTATATATATATATATATATAATACTAATAAATCAATTACTATTATATAATATATATGTATTGTGTGTGATTTGTGTGTTTATGGCAACTGCTGTGTGTCCCCGTGTTGCTTTATGATGTGTGTGTGCGTTGTTGTGGGTGTGTGTGTGTGTGTGTGTGTGTGTGTGTGTGTTGTGTTGTGCGTGTGTGTGTGTGGTTTATGTCTCTCTCTCTTCTCTCTCTCTCTTCTCTCTCTCTCTCTCTCTTTCTTCTTTTTCTCTCTCTCTCTCTCTCTTCTCTGCTCTCTCCTTTCTCTCTCTCTCTCTCTCTTCTCTCTCTACTCTCTACAGCATATATATATATATATATATATATAGTATGTGGTGTGTGTGTGTGTGTGTGTGTGTGTGTGTGTGTGTGTGTTGTGTGTGTTGTTGTGTGTGTGTGTGTGGTTTGTTTTGGTATGTTGTGTGTTTTACGAACCACACAGACACACACACACCACACACCACACACACACACACACCACAACAACACACACCACCACACATATAGTAGATAAGATAATTAAAAAAATCATAGTAATATATATAATATATATTATATTATATAATGTATACTATATATATGATATGTATATATATGTACACACACACACACACACACACAACACACACAACAAAACACACACACATATATATAAATATGTATAATATAATTATATATATAATATATATAAATATTATGATATATATATATATATATATTATGTATACATACATATATATATATATATATATATATATATACTATATATATATATATATATATAAATTATTACATGATATTTGTTTATACCTATATTAACTAAAGCACCACATCACTCACAACACAAAACAAGAGTGATATGATAATCATATATATGTAAATATAAATAATATAGATAAGTTTTTACACACATGCACATACAATATATAAATATGAGTGGGTCTTCATGCTCAGGGTGCATGTGAAGGTGTGGTTTTGTGTCTAGTAGTGTTTAGTGGCTTGCCATGCCATCTTGCTTTCAGCTTGCCCACCGTGGCTTAAGCCAGCGCGGAAAATAAAAGGAGGTGAGAAGACCTGGCAGTGGCACGGTCAGTATGGGTGGATGTCTGTCCATCCCCATGGCTCAGGAGCTCTCAGTAGCCGAGAAACAGCTCCCACCTCAGTGACTTTTTGCTTGGTGCCAGAGAAGAGGATTTCTGGCATGCCTGGTAATGTAGACAGGCCTCCAAATTCCACATCATAATGACACTCTAGGTTCTTAGTGATAGAGTAACATTCTTGTTAGCATTCGCGTGAGAGAGGATCCTCAAGATATCTTGCTCGTGATATTCACGGAAGGTGCTGAGTTTATGGACTACTGACTATTAGATGAGATGTAAGTGGACCACTATAGAATTCCACTTGAAGAGACACTAAGAGGCCACAGAGATGGCGTGTACAACCTGACTCGTCAAACTTATTTCATTCCCCTTGGTGTATTCAGTTCATTTATGAGGAATCTTGTGGAACATAAGAAAGATAGAAGGCCA